GTGTATAATTCAGTGGCATTAATTACATTCACAATGTTGTGTAATTATCAAAACTATTTTTTTAACTCTTCCATCACCATAAACAGAAACCCTGTTAAACAATAACTACCTCCTCCTTCTAGCCCTCGATAACCTCTAATCTACTTTGTCTCTCTCTGAGTTTGCCTATTTTAGGTATTTCACATAAATGGAATCATGCAATATTTGACTGGCTTATTTGACATAGCATAATGTCTTTAAGGTTCACCCATGTTGTAGCATGTATCAGAGGGTCATCCCTTTTCATGACTGAATAATACTACAATGTATGTATATACTACATTTTGTTTATCCATTCATCTGTTCATGAAAACTTGGGTTGTTTCTGTTTTGGTTATTGTGAATAATGCTGCAATGAATATTTGTGTACAAATGCCTGAGTTCCTCTTTTGTGTGGAATTGCTGGGTCATATGGTAAATCTATGCTTAGCTTTTTGAAGAACTGCCAAGCTGTTTTCCACAGCAGCTACGCCATTTTGTATTCCCATTAGCAGTGCGTAATGGTTCAGATTCCTCCATCTCCTCGCCCCTCCATACTCTTTTTTTTATTATTAGTTTCAGGTGTACAAAACAATGTAATAGTTAGACATTTACACCCTTCACAAAGCGATAACCCCCTTCCCCTAATCTACTACCCCTCTGACATTGTATATAGCTGTTATGGTTCCACTGACTCTATTCCTTCCATACTCTTTTGATCTTATCACTTTCGTATCCTCAGGGAGTTTGCTTCATTTAACTATCCTCAATTTCATTCAGTTTTAATCTGTCCAATTCTTTTGGCAAGCCCCGTTTACCGTTCAGCCAAATCCCTTGGCATTCCCTAGACAACATCTCTCACTCCAAGGTACTTGGAGTTCTCAAGATAAACCACATTATTTCATGTCCCCATGGCTTTGCCTTCGATCCGCTCTGCCCAGCATCCTCTGTGTTTCCTTCAAATTATATACCTATAATGGTTTCAGGTAGCTTTATTAAAGTCAAAGAAAACTTGTAATCATAACCATTATTTTACTTTAATAGTCTTATATTTATTTTAATGTGTTAGAAAAATCGATAACAACTATGGCAACAACTGAACAAGTGAATAAATGAAAGAAGCACTACACACGAGTCTATCTTATAACTTCTCATAACTGTTCTCCGTTTAAACAAATGATTTAAACAACCATTTGGGACTTTTGGTTTATGGAAATCTATTTCAATGAAAAATTCAAAAAGATTCTTTCCTTATCAGTTTTGCTTTCCATACTCCTATTTTCTTATTGTTAGCATGACCCTTCGGCTTTTGAACTCTTTTCTAAATTTTTATGGGCTGAAAGGACATATCAGCAGAGTTTGAGTTGCCACTTCTCTTGTTCATTATGCTGTAAAATATTTTATACATTTCAGGAGCTTTCAATTGTTAAGAAATATCAGGTGTCAAAGCGCGCTGAATATTTTCAGAGCTTGGCACTATAAATTGCTGAATATTTTTAGTACTTGGTACTATAAAATGCTGATAAAGTAATAAAAATTATTTCCAATTTGTGGGGCTTCAGCAGGTCTAATTCAGATCTAGATTAACCATAACACTAATGAAGCTTAAGTTTTGCCTTAGTGATTTTATATTCATAATTTTTAATTTCTTCCCAAGTTCGTCTTTTAGAATTGTATAAGCTTTAGACCCCCCAAAACCTGGATTTGTCCTGGGTCTTATTAGAGATAGATATCCACCTAAAATCACTACAGTTGAAATCCGCCTGGCCGTGACTTCGGGCACATGTTCAGGGTTGCTCTGGTTGGCCTGCCTACTTTACCACTCCATTTGAGGTGGCAAGTGTTACTTAGCAATTTGTAGCAATAAGAGGTTTTCCTTATATTTATTAAGTCAGTGACCTCAGGAACATATCAAAAGTTAGCAAAAAGGTATCTGAAAGGAAATGCCAATCTTTGCATTTCAAATGAATGGCTGAAACAACCAATCGGGCATTTCAGAGTAAAACACTGTTCTTATTCAAGTGGTTTGGGGAAAGTGAGGAGATAATACAGAAACATTAATTTGTCACCATGAGTGGCATATTATTTTTGTCATGATACTCTGAGAAAAAAATTATCTCAGTCATACATACTCTTCTAGAAACAGAATCACTGATGTCATTCACTTGTTAAATTTGAGGAATCTGAACAACATGAATTATATGACATTGATTGAATGGCAGAACTCGATCTTCCATTTTCTTCATATATACTTTGAATAAGTGAGTCAGACAGATAAAGACAGAAGTGAAGTGACTACACTACAATGGACAGAACTGTCATTGTGACTTGCAGTTAGGCTCCAGTTTGAGTGGTGAAGTTGCTGGACTGCCAGAATGCCTTAACTGGCCACTGAAAGCACTGTCAGTAGACATGGCTTCGCACCAGAGAGTGGCACTCATTTAGCTTTTAGAGAGTCACAAAATGAACCCGATCCTTAATGTTCTGTGTGAGGAGGGTCTTGATGCTTTTGAATGGGGTTCGTCAAAAGATTCTCTCTTAAAAACTAAAGCTCTTGACTCTTGTAAACCAGGCAACCAGGCAATCCATGGGCAAGTGACAATGTTTTATAACCTAGTCATGAAAATTCAACTGTATCTATACAATATCTCAAGTAGTTTTCTGCCTTGTGCTGGGCATGGAAAGCATACTTCATGAGGTCAAGTTTTCAAATAACACTTGACTATTAAAACAGGAGCTTGAGCAATATTTTGCTTGTTTAACTCAGCATTCATTATAGAAATCTGAGTCCTAGAAAGGCAAACTCTCCAGGATCATCCAGTAACTATGAGTCAGTCAGGAGAAAGGAAATGAGGAGTCAGGACTGTTACTCATTCCCTATAACCCAAACGCTTATCAAGACACAGAGCACTATCATCACCCAGGAAGTTCCCTTGTGCCCCTTCCCAGTCATTCTCCATGTCCTCCTATCCAAGGGCAACCACAGTTTTGATTTTTTTCTACAAAATTTTCCTGTTCTCAGCCTTTATCTAAATAGAATTGCTATGGTCTGAATGTTTGTATCCCCGCAAAATTCTTATGTTGCAACTTAATCCCCAAGGGGTATTAGGAGTATTAGTAATAATATTAATAGATGGGGCTTTTGAGAGGTAATTGGGTCATGAGGGTAGAGTCCTCATGAATAGAATTAGTGTCCTAATAAAAGGGGTCCCAGAGAGCTCTCTCACCCGTTCCTTCATGTGAGGACACAGCAAAAAGATGGCTGCCTAGGCAGTGAGCAGTCACCAGACACCAAATCTGCAGCTGCCTAAATCCTGGCCTTCTCAGCATCCAGAACTGTGATAAATAAATGTTTGTTGTTTATAAGCCACCCAATTTGTGGTACTTTTGTTATAGCAGTCCAAACAGACTGAGACAGGAATCATTCAGTATGGATTCTTTTATATAAGGCTTCTCTCACTCAGCAAAATGTTTTGAGACTCATCCAAGCTCCTGTATACATAAATAGTTCATTGCTTTTTATTACTGGGAGCACTGCATTGTAGGATGATACCACAGTTAGTATATTCACTCTCTCATTGAAGGACACTTAGGCTTCTGGTTTTGGACTACTATGAATAAAGCTAGTAAGAACAATTTTATACAAATCTTTTGTGGACATATGCTTTCATTTCCCTGGAATAAATAGTTGAATAAATACTCAGGTGTTAAACTGCTAGATCATGGGGTAGATGTACCAATGTTTACACTCTCACCAACAGTGCAGCAGAGTGTGATTGGTCCACATCCTCACCAACATTTGGGTTTATCAAGCTTTCTAATTTTAGCTATTCTGGTGGGCGTGAAGTGACTCAAGCTGCTATTTCAGCAAATGTTCCAAGTTAACAAAAAATATACCTGTATAGGGATAAAGTTTGAAGGAAACATTGGGGGAAATCTACAGGTTAGCATTTACGATACTAGAAAAATTCACTGATCCAAACCGAGCTTGAGAGAATAAAAAACAGCTAAAGGGATATGGTAGAAGCAGCCAGACACATTATTCAGTCTATAATTCTGTCAATAAATTACAGTATTAGAAAAGTAAATTGAGTGCTTAGATAACTGAAGCCTTCATTGGTAGGAAGATGGGAACTCTGTTTTCCTACAGAGCTGTTTTGGTGTGGACCACAACATGCTCCTCATGGTCAAAGCCCCTTGATCACTATCCCTACAGAGCTGGCCCAGCCTGAAAAATGGAGTCTGGAATCACCCAGAGAAGTGGGAGGGGCCCTTGGCGCCTCCCTCTCTCTTTCCAATACCACTCCTGGACCTCAGGGGAGGGACATTGACACCGGTCCAGGACATATTCTAGGCACCGTGTATACTGTCCTTGAGTCCTCACACCACCACCCTATTGAGTGAGGTACTGACAGCCTCGGGTTACAGATGTGAAACCAAGACTCATGGAGGCGTGGTAAGTTGCCCAGGTCACACAGAGTTAGAAGAACCAGGATTTGACGAAATCCTGTGCTCTTTGCACTCTACTTTGCTAAGCACCTGGAAAGCAAGTTGGAGGGGCCTATTCAACTCAGTTGGTGCCAAGGCCAGTAGTAGATGGTGCTGCATGTCTCTTAGATTTGTCCCTACTTTTTCGTTCTTTTCTGTTTTCTGCTTTCTAGTGTGTTTGGGTTGAAGGTAGAGCTGTTTCGTCTTGCAGATGTAAACGACCTTTAGCCTTCCTTTCTGTAGCTGCGACTGGATCTCAGGGCTTGGGTTTTTCTCTTGCAGGAAGGAATCATTAGCTTGTCGCCTTCCTTCTACCCTTCCTCACCTTCCTTAGTTTTTTGGGGTCTGGTACGATCAGGACTTGATGTGAAGGACATGCAGAGAGCCTCACTGACCCCTCGCTGCTCTGTGTCCTCTTCCTCCTCACTCCCTTCTGCCCACTGTGGGGAAGGGAGGCAACTGTGTTCATTGTATGTTTCTCTAGACTGAGTTACCTGTTCCTGAAAAGCACTAGCTTGCTCCTCAAATCCCGCTGTTCGGAAATAATTGACGACATCCATCACAGCCCAGTCTGCAGGATCGGGTGGCCTCCCATTCTCCATGGAGCTACAAAACACAAATCGAGACAGCTGTCAGAGCAGAGCGAGCAAGCGTATGCGGCCAGGCTCACTACTCAGTGTCCCAGGGGCAGGCCCAGGCCAGCTCCCTGGAACCATGGTCCCCTCTACCCTCAGAGTCCTAGATTCCCGCGTACCCTCAGGACATAATCATTCTGTGTTTCTTAGGGTCAGGTCATTACGCTCACTGGCTCAGTCACTGCTTTCCTAATAAACCATTAAACCTTTAATACAAAGTATTTCCTCATGTACTTTGTTTCAATCCAGAGATATTAAGAGTGGTCCAGTGATTTCTGGTGGTGCACAGTATGCTATTCATACTCCTGAGTTAAGAACACCAGGCCCTTTCCAAAACAGCCAAGGCTGTAACTGTCTTTTCCCCCTCCCCCAAAAATAACTTAGAAGAAAAATCACAGAGTTAGACTACTCACATCCTGAGAGGAGAAACCTGTCTACGTCTCTTATGCTCTCCAGCACCTAGCACAGGTCTGATGGTGCACAGTCAATCCACAGTAAAGATCTGATACACTAATGAACTAACAACCAGAGTACTGAGAGCCTGCAATGCGCTTTTCACACATTACCTATTATCAGCCTCCCAGTTACTTGTGAACTGGCTACTGTGACCTGTTTTTAGGAAACTCAGGCTCAGAAAGGTCAAGACACTCAGCCAAAATCACATAGCAGATAAAACCAGGATTGGATTCCATATATGCTTGCCTCCAAACCTGTGCTTTTCCCACTCTACTTATTCATTGATACCACAAATATTTACTAAAAGCCTACTATCTTCTCAGTACTATGCTTGATTCAGGGTCACAGGGATAGGATACATAGGCCCTGCCCTCAAGAAGCGGGCAATCTGGTGAGGGGAAGCAGACATGTGGACCGCAAACTTGAAATCATACTAGAATTGAGGGGTGAACGAATGCTACTGAGGACACGGGTACTGGAGGGCCCAGACACTTCTGCTTGACTAGGAAACGTGAAGGATTTCAACAGCAATTTTGAAAAGCACCTACTGCTCAAAATATACCCTAAAATAGTTCCTGAGGGGATGGCGTGCAGAGGTAGATACATGCAGACACACATTGTCTCTTCCGGTTGTTTATGTTAAAGCATGATGAATGATTTTGCCGGACCAGTCCAGTGGCTTTAGCAACAGTTTGAAGGAGAAAACTGGAGACGATCCACCAGCAACATGATGGCTAGGGTTGGGGGAGCCATTGTGCCAAGGCTGGGTAAAATTAGGAGAACATTTCAGAGGATGGATTTAAGTGTCGCCTTTCCCCACTGGGGAAGCCATACATCTCCTCAAGGACTGTAATTTGTGGCCAAACCTAGACACTTACTCGTAGTTCTCTTTTAAATGGACCATTCTCTCCAAGTCATTTCTTATAACGTTTGCATGCCAAATTCCAAAAGGCATTTAAATGGTGCTGTTTAAAATACCTCCCAGATGGTGGTTCCCATTGTGGCTGATAAATTGCACTGATGCAATGAGATGGCAGATATAAAAGTTCCATTATCATTTAATATTTATCATTCACTATCATCATAGCAAAATGTTTAATAGAATACAATATGTAAAGATGATAAATTCATAAATATTTTTCCAGGCATGGAATCTTTAAAAAAAATCTATATGCATTTTACTTTATTCCAAAACATTGGCAAGAAATGAAGGCAGAATTTGTCTACAATTCCATCACTTAATCAAATCAATGTTTCCATTTAACACTGTCACCTCTTAGTCCCTGTGCATATGGTTGGGTACATCATGTATTGATAAAAATTATATCATGCATGAATAATTCACACTGGGAAACAATTATCCCTTAATTAAACAATCACCTCACTTTTAAAGAGAGCTAGAGAGACACCATCACGGGAGCAGAAATGCAATAAATAACAAATTTGGCAGATATATGCAGATTGGGACCTTATAATGAGTGTTTTCATTCATGCTGGCACATTATAATTTTAAGAGCTGGCAGCAGTAGTTCCCATTGTCCCTTTATATATTAGTGAAGGCATGTGGAAAATAGTGGAAACTCTCTGAATCTAGCATGTGTATATTCTATGGTACTTAGGATATTATAGATTCTGAGGGTTGATCAGACCAAAAGGAAACTCTGGATAAATACAATCCATATGAGACTCAAGATCCCTTTATACTCATTAATTGCATTTCTGCTTTAAAGTTCAGAGCAAAAGTTACTTTAGACACTTGTTAAGATATTATGAAAGCTAATCCTCAATGTTACTTAGGTTTCCACTTAGAAATGCACTTCTACTTTGTATTGCCTTGATATTTATAACTTACTTTCAAAATTATATTAACGTATTTTTTGTCCATATCTTAAAACAGGCTTTGTCTAAAAGCAATATAATTCTGATTGTAATGAATTAGTATTGATCTCTTTGCCTCTGACATACCTAAAAAAGGAGTGACTGAGAGACTTTTAGTTTATCTCCATCCCTTTCTCCCTCTCCCTTCATCCTAACAAGCAGAGGTCGGGCTAAGAGGCAGGCGGGCACCGAAAGAGAATGAATGATTCAAAGGTTCTTGACAGGACATTTTTCTTTTTTTTTCTTTAATGTTCAGATAAGTAAAAATGGACTGCATTTAGCAGCAGCATACCCAGGCAACAAAGGCATTGAAAAAGCAAATGATTCTTCAAGCAGTCTGTATATTCCAAATTCTTTAGCCTGACATTCAGGCATTTGATTCAAACACAACTTTCCAGGCTTATTCCCCATTCCACGTGTGTGCTGAAATCCAACTGAGCAAAATCCTGTACTTTCCTATGGCACCTGCTGTGGCTATGCCACTCAAAACCCGGCCTATTCAACTACCAGGGATTAGAACCTTATTCATCATTAAAAGGTGCCAGTTCCATGTCCCCTTCCTAATATTCCCAGTCTATCTTTTATTCCAATCATTAATTTTAGCCTGCCTAATATCAGCCAGGCACCTGAGGAACCTTAGAAACTCATAGTCTACCGAAGAGGAAAATCTCAATCAGCCATGTGATGAAAAGGGTCGTGTGTGTTCCCTGCCTTATTCCAAAAAGTGGTTAAGGAACAGGAGGAATAGATTGATGGAGGGAGGAGGGGACAGAAATCAAAGTCATCATGGCACACAAGATGTGCGGAGGAGGGGCTTTGGAGCCCTGAATCTGCAGGAGCAGGTCCCAGGGACAGGCGGGGCATCTTCCTGCATCGTTTCTCTCCTCTATAAGAGGTCCGATCCCTTGGGCTGATGGCGTTCCTGACATCACATGGCACTCTGTCCTTCACATCTCTGCTAAGAATGCTTCCCCAACACCCTACCCCATCTTTCTGTAACTGCCTCTTTCCCCGCCTGTACAAATAAAGACCTTTCTAGTACAAACGCAGACCTCTGCAGGAGTGTAAATAAGGACACTCCTCTCAAGAGGACTCAATGAATGTCTGGTTTTCATTCACTGTCAGATACAGTTCATGCCAAGATGTACGCTAAACACAGACAAGTGAACGGTCCATATCCCAATCATTGATATGAAAGACAACTGCATAAAGCCCACCTGAAGAGCTTTCTGTCCCTGCCCTGGGCCCCAGAACAGGGCTAATTCCAGAGGACTTAGGTGCGGCTTCGTTCCTTAGACAAAATCGCTGTTCCTTCTGTGGGAATAACAGTAGCACATCAGAAGCTATGTAGAAAATAGCAGCCCGTGAAGGCTGCTAATGTATAAAAGGCATATGATGCATGTTTGTGAATTCTGTTGCCTTGCAATGAAGCTCTTACTCTTTTTGCGCTTAAAATATAATATGCTTAGCTGACTCAAGTTATACGTATTGTACTCTTTGAAAATGTACACTTCTTGAAGGCAGTTATTTGCAATGGAAATACTGGTATAAATCAACACAGTAAACATGCTCAATTTTTAACCCAAGTTATCGCTTAATGTAAGGGAATAATCAAACATAAGACCATATGGTAAGACTGAATTTTGCCTCCCCTCAAATTTTTACACTGAGCCCTAACCCTCACTGTGATTGTATTTGGAGATGGGGTTTTTAAAGGACAGAGCAATTAAGGTTACATGAGGGCATGTGGGTGGGGTCCTAACCCGATAGGCTTGGTGGCCTTGTAAGAGCCACATGCATGTACTGAGGAAAGTCCATGTGAGGACATAGTGATAAGGCGGCCATCTGCGAGCCAGGAAGAGAGCTCTCTCCAGGAGCGGAATCAGCCAGCTGCTTGATCTTGAACTTCCCAGCCTCCAGAACTATGAGAAATAAATTTCTGTTGTTAACGCAACCCAGTCCACGGTATTTTGTTATGGCAGCCCAAGGTGACTAACACACCATATATCAGAATGAGGAGACAGCCATAAAATATTACGGAATGAATTTTAGCTTCAGTAAGAAAAAGAAAACTGTACCAGTTACAAGTTACCACTATTAACTCCCATATAGTATCTGTATTTAAGAAACCATATAGCACTAGACATTACAGGAGGGTCACTTCATAGATTGTGTAGATGCTAGACCACTATGCTGTACACCAGAAACTAATATAAAATAATAATGAATGTCAACTATAATTAAAATATATATATAGTCACAGGATGTAAAGTACAGCATAGGGAATATAGTCAATGGTATTGTAATAGCTATGTACAGTGTCAGATGGTGGGGCTATCACTTTGTGAGGGGTGTAAACATCTAATCACTGTGTTGTTTTGTACATCTGACATTAAAAATAAAAATTATTATAAAACAAAACAAAGAAACCATATTGCACTCTAACTTATCACACCAAACATATCTGCAGAAGGATTACACCACCAGATCCTGATGAGAAAGGTAATTTTTTGGGTTTGAATTAGTGGCTCAGTTTACCTCCCCTCCCCCCATGCTCCTCCTGCTCCTCTTCTTTTCTCTTTCTCTCTCTTCTTCCTCCCTCCCTCCCTCCTTTCCCCTCCTTCCTTCCTTTCTAAC